TATCTCCCCCTCCTATTTACTTTGTAAACTTTGTATCTATTTTATCCTTTATTTCTCCTCCCCCCATCCCCCTTTCCCTTTTGAATGATTACTTTCTATTTTCTTACTATTATGCATTTTGGTTGTTATTTATACTCAGTTTCTCACACCACAGAGACAATGTGATATTGACATGTATGTGCCTGATTTAGGAAAAATAAGATTTATGCTGAATATATTTATTTTCTGTCTCTATCTCTGCTGCCTCCCTTACTGGGGATTGCCCCAGTGCCTTCCCATTGAGCTACATCCTCAGTCTCCTTTAATCTTTTATTTTTAGATAGGACCTAAGCTGTTAAATTGTCCAAGCTAGGCTCAAACTTGTGGTCCTCCTGCCTTGGCCGCCCTCAGAATGCTGGGATCACAGGAATTATCCCCCCTCCCCCCATACCCAGCCTGGCTTGGATTCTTTCTCTTTATTTACCAATTCCTAGCATCCTTCAAATGAGCTTTATCTTCTGAGAAAGTCATCCTACAACATTCTTGCCTCTAACCTTCTCCCCAGGACTTACTCATTTAACTCCGCCTCAGTGCCAGAGAGTCATGGGATCTTTAGCATTTTCTTGTGGTAGCCAGGTGCTCAGGTATTTTCCCTCACACTGGAAGAGAGGTTGGGACCTGGGGTACCTGCTTCCCTTCCCGTTGGCCCACACCTGTGTGAGGGCTGCAGTGCGTCATCCAGCCTGTATGGCTCCTACTTCCTGGCACGTAAGGCTCTGCCCAGTGACTGCATGGTGGGGGAGGCCTGGGTACAGGGTCCGGTCCTCCCTGCTCCTACCCAGCCCACCGCCCGGCTCTCTGACTCAGCCTGAGGACTTTGACCTCCCCTCTATGCTGCGGGCCCGCTTCCCTCTTTTCCTCTCCTCCTTCTTTTCCTCTTCTTCTTCTCATTCTTCCTCCCCCTCTCCTTTTCCCTTCTTCTTCAGCTCTTTCTCTTTCTACTTTTACTTCTGGATCTTCGTTCATATTTTTTGGTTCCTGACCCAAGGCTTCCCACATTGTCTTAGCCTACTCCAGTCAGTCAACAACATCTCGCCCTAATCCATCCAAATGAAGTCTGAATCACTCAAGCCCACCCTGACTTCTGCCCGCCTCACTCTCCCAGGGTGCTGGGTGCCCTTCGTGGTTACTGTCATTTACTTGTGTTTAAAACCTCCCCCCACCCCCATGGACTGTCCATGCCCCATATAACTATCTCTGCAGCAGGCTGCATCTGGAATCCCAGTCATGCTCAGCACAGGGCTGTTGTGACACCAGTCATGGTGGTTCATTGATCGAAGCACAGCTGTTTCATGCGGAGTTTGAAAAGCTGTCTGTACTAGATGCCAACACAACATGGAGAATAGCAGGAATTCTGTCATCAGTTTTGAAAGTTTTTGATGTCTGCTGACTGATGTGGTGGATTTGTTTTCATTTACTGATTAAAGAGCAATGATGGTGGAAGTCTGGATCTGATACTGCCTTCTTGAAGGGGTTCTTCCCAAAACAGCTGTTTCTACCTGGGTGTGGTGGATATGCCTGTAATCACAGCTACTCAAGAAGCGGTGGCAGAGGATCATAAGTTCCAGCCCTGCTCTGACAACTTTGTGAGATCCTGTCTCAAAATAATAAAATAAAATAGGCTGGGGATGTGCCTCAGTGGTAGGGTACCTCTGGGTTCTGTCTCTGGTAACACAACAAAATAAAACAACCTTCTAAACCAAAAGCAAACAAACAAATCCCAGATGCCTCTGGGCTCCAGAAATGTGCTGATCTATACAAGCTTTTCTTTAGGTGGCCGCAGTGGAACCAGAACAGAGTGAGGAATCACAGTGTGGGTGGAGAACTAACGTAACATCACCTTATAGGGTGATATTTTTCTTTTTTGAGTCAGAAAGCATAGATAGACTTTCATCATCATTTTATGTACTTTTGAGCCTCTATAAACATGTCCTAGGTACTGATTTTGGCAAGGGATCTTAAAAGCATAAAAAAAAATCCAAGTGATGGGATATTTCTGTAAATCTTTCTCTTCTAAGAAATCTGCTTAATGTACTTCTATGGATTTAATTAATAAGAATGGGAGTGGAAAAATCATCCCCACATGACGGAAAAATGGGAAGCAGGAATAATACTAGGCTATATCATAAGAAATATAAATTTCAGTTCTAACTCATCCATGAATTATTGTGACCTGCTCACAACCCTGTTTCTGAGCCTCAGTTTCCTCACTCATAAACCAAGAAATGGGCAGGACAATAAACACATTTTATTCTTGGGGGCATCACTGTATTTATATTTCCAGAGTTCCCTGTATTATTTATAGACACCATAGTTGTTTTCTCACTTGATCCTTACAATAAATCTATAAGGTAGATAAGGTTGGGGTTATTATCCTCATTAGACAGCTGCGAGGGTGGAAGCTGAGCAGTATTGGTAATTCTAATGTACAATAATTCCCTTCTTAGCAGGAGGCTCTTTCCTATGGATGGATGTTGATTTAATGGAGAATGTAGGCATCTGTCTGTTAGGTTTTTCTGATGTATGAATGAATATAAAGGGTGCAATTTATAAGGTGGACCATGATTTCCCTGTGTTCATACTGCTGGTTTGTTTTTCAGTGATTGTTTGTATCCTTTGAATGTTGTATTATTTTGTACTCTTTACAACCTGCACTAAGTAGGCAGTCATAAACAGTAACTAGAGTGAAAGTGGTCATGGAGAGACAGAGAAATAAAAGGGAAGCGATTGAGCAAAATAGGCACTATTCCATGTACTCTCCTAATATTAACTCTTTCTTCTGGTCCTCACACGAATGCTAGGAGTAAGGTGCTATCATTATGCTCACTTTATAGACAATGAAACGAAGACTGACCTCAAGAAGTTAAATACATGGCTCAAATTAATAAGTGTCAGAGTGCTGTCAAGTTCATACTGAGTAGTCATAAATCTTTATACAATGTTATAATACAAAGTAAGAGTTAAAAAATGTCTACCCAAAGCTAGTGAGATTGCAGAGGGGCGGTCCTTATATTGCTGGTAGCATCCACAATGAGTTTCATCTTTTTAAAAGGCAATATTTGGCAAGAGCTATAAGGTTTTCCACACCTGATTTAGGAATGTTGATTCTAAGAAGTTTATTCTAAGCTTATACTTCAAAAGCATGAAGCCATGTGCATGAAATTTGTTATATGATCTGTACTAATGGAAAATTGGGAACAAGTTAAATGCCTCAAGATGAGGTCTGATAAAATAATTTCACAATACACTCACTTGTTGAATTACCTAAACATTTAAAACGACAATTACAAAGACTATGTTTTAAAAAGGGCAAGAAGATGTTCTCCACAATATGATAAAGTTTAAAAACAGGACTAAAATATATAGATTACAACAACTCTAATATATATGTGCATATTGACAAAACCTAAAATAGAATGCAAAAAAGTTCTAGTAGATGTTTAATTTTTCACATTTTCATTAATAGAGGCACTTTTTAAAAAAAATCTAACAGATAGTAAAAAAAGGGAAAAGCTGGTGGTGGAAGTGGACTGTAATTACCATCCAGGGTGAGGTTAGGGACTGCTGTAGGGTTTCAGGCTGCCACCATCCCTGAGTTTTCTGGGGGCAGAAAGTTTCTTTCTTCGGAAGAGGCTAGTGCTCGAGGGATCCATGAGCTTGTGAGAGGCAGAAAAGATGCTGCCCTGCCAGTGCCACCCGACTGCAGTTAGTGTCTAGGTCACCTCTGCCTTGCCTCACTTCTCCAGTTCTTCAACTCTTAGGAGACAGTTTCCTAGCGTCAACCCTGCTCCTCCCATGGGGTGGGTGCTGTCCCCCTTTCCTGGCGCTCAGTACCATAGCCTATCTCTGCACCCATTGGGCCCGTTTACTTTCCAGAGATGCAAAGGGTGAGATTCTCAAGCCCATCTGGATCTCCACTCGATGCCCTGACTCACACACAACTTCTCATCCCTAAAGATGAGGTACCTGAGTTTAAATCCATTCCTTCCAGCTCCACATACCAGGATTTTGCCAGCTGGTTTTTCCCAGATGCATGAAATAAAGGAACCACTGATTTTAAAGAAAAGCCCCAGTGTAGCAAGTGTGATGTTCTGCCCCAAGTAACCTCTGGCCTTGGTGTAGACTGAGCCTGGTCTGAGGGTTTTCTTAGTAGGTTAGCTCCGCGTACATGAGCACGGCCTTAACTACTGCCTGAGAACAAGGTTTCTGGCCGAAGGCTCTTTGCTTGTGTTGTGAGTACCCAGCTGGCCAACCAGCAGCCACATGTGACTTGGGAACTGTGTCTCCACGTGTGAATCTGCTGGAGCCCTGATGTCACATATCTGCCCGTAGACTGTAGAAGTGGGCGTGTCTGTGCACATGGCTGTTGTGCTTGTGTCAGACCAGTCAAATGGTTGAACAAATGGCTCTGGATTTTTGGACAGTGTGTGGCTGTATAGACCGTGTGAACACATCTAGGATAATGTGTGGTTTTTCGATTCAGCAAATATATCGGGAGCTTTGTGCTCTACAAGGGCAAGAATGCAGTGCGCCTGCCAGGGAACCTGAGATGTGCGTGTTTTGCCTATGACTGCTTTGCGCGTCCTCTCATGTGTGTCTTTGGGAATGCGTTCTTGGCACGTGTCCCGCGTTAACAAGGCGGTTGTTCGGTGTGTACATGTTTGTGCGACAGTGCTTGGGTCTTGTTTGCGGCTGCTTGCTGGCTTTCCAGCTCCACTTGTGCCCGCAGTCGGGCTCTGCACGTGCGCCTGCCTTCCTGCGCACGTCCCCGAGTGACCCGTGCGCGGTGGGCAGAGACCTCTGGGTCGTGTGCACTTCTTGCGCTCGTGCCCGTCTCTCTGCGCTAAGGAAAGCACCTCCACATGTCTAGAAGCACGTCTTTCTCCGTATGTGCACGTTCCATGTGCACGCCGCCCGTGTATGTATGTGTGTGTGTGCGCGCGCGCAGGGGTGTCGCGCGCGCGCACCGGTCCGCGGGCAGCCAGGACCCGCGTTGGGCTCCACGCGTCCCGCGGGGCTGAACCCTCCCCCCGCGCCCCGCAGCAGGCCGCGGCGATTGGCCGCCCGCTCGCTCCCGGCCGTCACCCCGCCCCGCCCCCGCCCCTCGCGCTCCCGCGGTCCCCGCTGTCCCCCGCGGTTCCGGCGAGGCCGCGCCGCGCCGCGCTCTGTTCCCATTGGCTGCGCGCGCCTTTGTGTGGCGGCAGCTGCGGCCCCAGAGCCTTTGAATGTCGAGAGGGGCCGGGAAGGGAGCCTTTCCATGGGCCATCTGTTTCCCCGCCAGCCGCCGCCCCGCCGCCGCCCGCGCCCCGCGCTCCGCCTCCCGCCCCGGCGGCTCCCGCAGCCCCGCCGCCGCCCGCGCCCGCGCCCCGGAGCCGCGCCACAAAGGGCCCGCGCGCAGCCGCCGCCGCCGCCGCCGCGCGAGGAGCCAGGATGGTCCTGGTCCACGTCGGCTATCTCGTGCTTCCAGTGTTTGGCTCTGTGCGAAACAGAGGTATCGCTTTTTCCTTTTGGGGTCTGCTTGCGAGCGTGGATCGCCGCAGGCACCGGGCGGGGGCGGGCGCCGCGGGCGGCCGGGACTCAGGGCTCACCCGCGTGGACGCGGGACGAGCGGTGGCTGCTCCCCACCCCCTTTTAGGGAGACCCCCCGGGTGTGGGGGTGGCCGCCCTCGTGGGAGCTTCTGTAGTGAAGTTAGGGTTTGGCGAATTTGGGTCCCTCCCGCCCAGCCCTATTTTTATTCTTTGCGGCGGACGTGGTTCCTCCAAATCACAACCCTTTTCCCTTAATACCTAGCCCTGTGTGATCGAAAGAAGGCGAGAGATAAATGACTTTATGTCTGTATCTGTGTGTGTGAGAGAGAGAGAAAGAGAGAATGAATATGCACGCCTGGTTTTCTGCGACTTGCTTTTTTGAGACATATGGGTTTTCTTTTATATGTGTTTTGTATTTCTTCATTTTTGGTCAATCCCAATAACTGGTTAGCCGGGATCTAGGTATCTGCCTTATCCCATGCCCCAGCCCCCACCATCTCATGGGCAATTGCACGATTTCCCCGTCCCATCTTTTCTTCCCCTTTAACCCTTTTTGTGTTACTGCCCTTGTGCTATGGCCCTGCTCACCCCGCCCCCCGCAATTGTCTTTGTATGACAGTTGCATTTGTGGGTTCACAATCCTTGGGAATGTGTGTGTGTGTGTGTGCGCGCGCGCGTGCGTGTGTGTGTGTGTGTGTGTGTGTGCGCGCGCCTCAGAGATCAGACGTGCGCTGCCGCGCACCCCTGGGCCGGCGGAGCGGGGCATGTGGCCTTGGGTGTTGCGCTGTGTGTGAGGGTGAGATGGGAAGCTGTCCCCATGCCAGAGGCCTTTGCCCCAGGCAGCAGTTGACCAAGCAGCAGGCCAGCGCGGGCTTTGTTTTTAACTGTGATATACGGGATGTATTTGCAGTCCCCTTTCCCCACATCCCTTTTCCTTTATATTCTGCTACAACAATAGCTTGATTTTCTCCCTCCTCTCCCCCTTACCCCACATTTCTTCCATTTTCTTTCAATCAAAAATTGCCACCTCCCAAAGCAAATCCAAGATGCATTTCAATTCTTTTTTTTTTTTTTTTTTACTTTTTGTATTCTGCCTCTGGACTCACATTTCTCTTCTTGGAAATGTTTCTTCTCTCCCACTCCACGTCTGCTTCAATCCCTGCTGGCAGAGGCCCCCTCCCCACCCCCTCCCGCACACACTGAATGATGTCTTCCCTTTGCCGACCTGGCTCCGGCTCCAGTCAGAGTGGGGGGTGGGGTCGCAGGGCCAGCGCTTTAGTGCGCCCCGGGGGCCGGATTGGGCAGACCAGGAAAGCCCGGCCCTCCTCCTTCCAGCCCAGCTGTCCCCAGCCCCGCGCCCCTCTCCAGAACCCAGAAGGCAAGGTTGGCCCCTTTAGGCCTGTTTGAACCGCAGTTTTTGTGTGATGATAGAATGATGACATTCTGCATTTATCAAATCTTTTTTTTTTCTTCATTGTGTAGCTCAGTGAATGGTCAACTCGCTGCTGTGTGCGCTGTGACCCTTCTGCCTCCGCATTTAGCTGTATTGTGACACCCCTCTTAACCATTTCCTGTCTCCATCTGAGGAACGCATTGCTATTTAAGCGGCAGTATCCCCTATCTCAGGCCAGCCTAGCGTGGGGTTGAGGGGGTGTGTGAGGAAGAAGGGGGGCTGGATGAGATCTCCTTGAAATGCCAACCCCCTCCCCCTGTACACAATTATCTCTTATTAGTTGGCATTTCCTCTTAAAACGGGTGTGGAACATTACACTAGGCAGAAATTCAAAAATGATTAAGAAGGATGTTGAGCCTGAAAGTATAATTATCCTGATTAAATCATTATCATCCTCATTAATACCACCAATCTCTAAATACCATTGCAGGATACTGGTTCCATGTTTTGAAATTCAAATTGTTCAGCTGCCTTAAATTTTATTTTTAATACTTCTCCCCCAACCCACCCCCACCAATCCAACAAAACAAATTTTACTTGTTAGTCAAAGTTTACTTTCATGGCTAACACACCCACAGGAAATTTAAGGGCTGAGGGGTGAGTTGGGCTGTGGGTAAAATTTAGCACAGTGTGCTAAGAATTCATGACCTTCCGATAGAGGATACTAATGCTTAACTCAACAAGATCCTACACCACAATCTTCTTGTAAAACTGTTAGATAGTCTGCCAGCTTAAATCTGTTCTTTTTAATTTCCATTGTAGTAGTGTAGGATGTAGGCCATTTCAGAATAGATGTAGAGAAATAACCATTTTTGTATCTTCATCTTGTTTAGCCGAGTACATTGCACTGTAAATCCCTGTTAAGTGGATTCCTTTTGCCTTGGCTTGGAGGCTGCAACACCCCATTTTCCAGTTGTCTGGGTGGCCATCAGCTGGCTGCTTCGTAGCACCCAGACATACTGAGGATTCCATTTAGTTGGAGGCAAAAATTGCTAAAGACAAATATCAAAAAGAAAAATCTCTAATGAAATGACAGTTGCTGCTATTCCAGTCTCTGAAAATTTGGTGCACCAAGGTCCCTGGCTTACGAGGAAGCCATGGCCATAGGGTCTTAATTGTTTAATTGTACAATGTCAAGAGCATCTTTGGACATCTGCCCTGGCCCTCAGAGCTGCTTCTGTAACAGCCGGCTCCCTTCTGCTGCCTGGCCAGCCAGACCTGCTCGAAAACTGGAACAAAACAGCAGCAATCATGAAAGAATAGAGCCCCCTTGGAGGGCTCTTCCAAAATAAAGTCGCAAGTAGCCTCCCTGGACTGCCATTTGGCAAATAAAAAAAAAAAGAAAAAAGGAAAAAAATCTCAGCAAAATGGTTTTCCATTAAACAGGGGTAGCGTGTTCTGCTGTGCTGAATTACTTCCTGTTCTTATTTTGTGGGTAATTTTTTCTGTATCAAATATCCTTTTGGTTGTGTATCTTTTTCACCTTTTCTTGTACTAAAACTAAAGCATGATCTGTATTTTTTTACATCCCCCAGTTGACAATGTACAGCGCTCGGTTAGAGGTGTTACCCTGCTGAAACGTACTGTGGTCGTGTAGCCCGGGCCATCTGCTCATTGTACGCTGCTTTTGTTCTGTTGCCCTTCCGAAGCATGGTGGGCTCAGCCTTTTTTTTTGTATCGTGTGCATGATGACATTGTTACACACAGAATCCACTAATACTAATATACAATCTCTCAATAAAGAACTAGTTTTCCTATATTAACCTAGTGTGCTTTTTCTCTTGCTGTTTTCCCATTTATTGTCGTATCCTGCTGTTTAGATTTCCCCCCTTGCTTTTCTATCCCCACCCTCACCCACCCACCACCCCCACCTCCCATTGTAAGATTTGAGTGAATGCCTTTTCTTTTTACCTTCTTTCTTTTTTTTCCTTTCTTTTTTTTGTGGCAAGATATGGTGACTTTAATCTCATCTAGTCCATATCTTTTAACAATAGATTGGGGCCATGGGATGGGCCAGTTGTCCTGTCACGCTGAAACAGCATATAGAGAGCACCCCTGTGTTAGGCCACCTGTGTGCCCAGAGGTCTCCACATTTCATCTTAGTTTTCCAAGCTACACAGGCACTGGTTTATGATGCTGGAGAAGGGAAAGGAAAATGACACTTAGGTTGAGAGAAGGGATACTGTTCTTAACTAGCAATCTTGTAGCATTTCAGACTCACCTGAAAAACCCATTTTGGTTGTGCTTTAACTTTTCTGTTTACTGTCTCATTGATTTACTGTCCTTATAAATTATGTTGGGGGTGACATGTGACATATAGCTGAAGCCATGGTCTGGAATTTTCAAGAATCTTCTATGTGCATATTTAAATTTTTGGGACCTACAGTGTAAGATTCCCATTGAGATCCTGAATAAGGATGCATTTGAAATAGAAACTGAGACCACCCTACCTTGTCCCAGGGCTGGCCAGCAACCCGACCTACTACTATGGGAATAAGAGAATCTGTGCCCTCTGCAGCCTGTGAGCCTATTAAAGCTGATTATACCCTGCTAGCCTGACAGCTGCTTCATCTGTGGCCCTAAGGCCTCTGTTAGGAGCAAGCAAGTCAGATCACAGCCTTTGTCTGTGTGTGTGTGTGTTGGGGTGGGGGTAGGGAAGGTCAGGAGGGAAGTTACGACCTTCTTCTAAATTGAATTGGAAGAACCTTTAAAATATGCCTTTTTTCCCTTCTATAATTGCACTGGAGAAGCCAGTGGAGAGGTATTTTTTTCCTCTTAGAGTGGAACCCAAATTCAAGCATTTGTCAATTACACCTATTCAGTTTCAGCCCAGAACAAGCCTTGCTAAATGAGGCGTTTTAGACACCCAAGGAAATCAGTTGATTAAAGAAATTCATGGTTCCTTCAAGGGGTCATCGTTTGGAGGCCCATTCTCTCTTGGCGGATGTGCCTTGTCCTGGTTCTCGGGCTGTCTCCCTGTGCTCGCTTGCCTATGCTGCTTTCCTGGCAGGCAGATTGGCAGGGCGGGTGGACGGGCGGTGCCCCCTGCCTGACCACTGCGCTTCCTTGCCTGCTTTGTGGCTTCAGTACAATTCCCCCTGTGCCTCCCTCCCAGCTGCCCTCTCTGCTCTGGCCCTTTGTTCACATGCTCTTCCCAGCCAGGGTGGGAAAGCTGAGCTGATTTACTGTGACACATGGACACACATGGATGTTCCCGGTGGAGGCTCACGCTGTCGGGAGCAGAGATAGCAGGTCCCCAAAGCCAGTCTTGAGGATGTTTTTTTCTTTAAAATTTTTTTGTTAATTTTCATGAGACTATTAATTTTGCTCCTAGTTTGAGAAAGCAAAATACCCTCCCAGCCAACCTGAGCAATAATCAAACTACCCTAAATCAGGGGACCACTCTCATTTTTATCCTGAAGAGTACATCATCAGTGTTAATTAATTCTACGATTTTTATTTTTTAAATTAGTGTCAAGTATATCAAAACTGGTTGACAATACATTTTG